GCTACCACGCGTCCCTTGATATTATTTTTAATATTTAAACTCAATTGATCTCTTTAATTTTTTTATAGTACTAATAATTTCACTTAAGAAGCATTAAAACTTGTAGAAAAATGGATGAAAAATTTTTCGCCGCTTTGAGAATGGAATCGACGTCTTCCGGATTCGCGCCCAAACGCTTTAACCACTAAGCTAAACGGCTGATTACCAAACCGACAAAAACCCCAAGATATTTTTACTACATTGTTTTTTTTTCTTAATATTGATATATTAAGAAAAAAAACTGACTCGTAATTCTTAATTGTCACAAATGTTCTTTAACTTATGTGTGCGTTTAGCTTATACTTATATTTTAAAGTATCGTTTCAGAGGGAACAATGCCACCCTGGTAATCAGCCGCCGGAGACCAGGGCGCAGGAGCCGGACTTTTAGGGATCCTCTGAATGGCATGAGAGGGTCTGTCGCTTAGCCCAGAGATTGTGTGATGCCGTGTAAGATGCGAAGTACTACGTAGTACCCAGGTAGAGAAAGCCTAGGAATGGCAGAGCAGCGACGGTGTTTGCGGAACGTTCGTCATAACGTTCCTGTGACCTCGGCCCAAGTGACAAAGATAAGTGCAACATAGATTTTTAATTAGCAACCCATTTGTTCTGGTTGACACATTATGTCCGGGAATATCAGATATCGAGGCCGCTTTGTATAGCTGGAGTGGTTCCCGCATACATGGTCCATGAAAGCTACACATCACTTCCCACTTAAATGAAGTTACTACACCACCTTAAAGTACACCAAAGACAATTCCACATATCCGGATTGAGCCCGACCTAACCTTAAGACATGTTGTTTGAAAAGTAGGGGAATTGATTAACGATGCATAAATAAGTCATTATAATTTTAAAAGACGGAGATGGAGACGAAAACGATTTTTCATTTTAATAAAAGCATATTGAAAAAAGGAAACATGTAAAAAAGCTGACACTAGCTTCAATCTTACTATCCGCTAACTGAAAATTTCATTGTCTTTCTTATAGTAATTATAATGTGACAAATCAAAGTACAAAATGACGAAGTTTTTTTAATAACCTTATTGTAATCTACAAAAGAAAAAAAAAACTTGATATAACATGACACGATTCGCTCCCGGGCGTAAATAAAAGTATCCCACCTCTCAAGATCCGGTCCAATTAAAACTCTACGGAAGTGCTACGAGACCGCTACGGTCCTCTACGACGTTCTTCATTTTGAGTGTTTTCCGTGATTTTGACATTGTGATCAGTAATCACAGGCATTATACCTAAATTGAAACACAAAAATCTTTCTTAAGCCTGTCGTGGCGACAACATAAGAAAATTGCGGAAATAGGTATACGGAAAAACTTAAACAATTACCTTTTGTAGCGTTCAAACAATTCGCCCCAACGCTGTACGTTTAAATGCGTGTCATCATGCCTCGCCTTTCATTACGTTTATTTGAGCAACCTGAGTTCGATCCCCGGTGCCAGCGCCAATGAAATGGTTAATTTCAAATGCTGACTTATCATGTGCTTGGCGATGCTCGGCGATAAAAGATCGTGAGCAAACCTGCATATTTTCAAAATAATAATAAAAAAATAACATTTTTTTCGAAAATATCTGAAGTCCGCCGATCCGCAGTGGGGTCGCGTGGTGGACTTTGCCCTGACACCCTATTTACAGAGGAGGCCTTTGCCCAGCAGTGGGACATTTATAGGCTGTTACTTTACTTTTACTTTATGATCATCATCATTTGAGTCTATTGTTATCCACTGCTGAACATTGTATTTTGTGTGGAAAGGGTTGGGTATTAATTCCTAACTACTGCTATCTAAAAAGATCTATTGTAGTCTTCCCTTTGAAAACATTGCCCCCTTACTAGGATAATATTTACCTTACCTTCCGTACCTAATCGTACCTTTGCATCTCATCTCCAATGAGAGGCGCGTAAAGTAGAACCATTTACACGTTTATGTTTACGACCGGTGGATAAAGTGCTCAGGGTCCGCGTTTCTTATTGTTGCCAGCACATTTGCAGACCTTATTCTGGTGATTTGCAAGGATTTACCTAATACTATACGATCGCATAAATTATTTTTTCTTAAACATGTCACTAATTCCTAAAAACCAAATAAAAAACCATACTGCGGTACGAAAAAACATTTTGAGTACATGTACTTTGGCGTAAAATACTGCAATTTTGTTCTTAATAATTTATACAGCGTGTCGTTACCATCGCGACAATAAATGAGCACACATTTAGGGGATAACTGTTTAAAGTTGTATTAAACATTTAAATTGTTTAAACATCAATATTTGCAGAGTTATTAAATTTTCCAAAAAAAAAGAATTTTAGAACACCCTTACCTATAAATCGTAATGTAAAGTTCATTTGTAAAGGTCACAAAGCATATGAATGGGTTGAATGAATTTAAAAGAGACAAAACATACTGTTAGAAGGAGAGGCTTGTAATACGACGCTGTGGCGCGAGTTGTATAGGTGTTACAAATTTCGTTTCTTTTTTACTTAATTAGTTTGTTTGAAAAATATTTTTTTTTAATTATGGATTTTGTTTAACGTTAATATTTTTTTAAGATTATTGGCAAGTAGCGTTAGACGTGTCTTCATTTATTGTCGCGATGGTAACGACACGCTGTATACAGAAAGTGTTACTTGCCAAAGTTACGGCAATTTTTTATCAAAAGCGGTAGAAGCGTTTAGAATTTACGGGGGAAAGTAGACAACGGACAAACATACATTCAGATGAAACACATATTGTTACGCTCTCCTTTTTAGAGTTCCGGACCACAGGGTAAAACGGGACCCCATTACTAAGACTCCGCTGCCTATCTGTCTATCAGAATAATGAAATTGTTAATTTCAAGTGCTGACTTATCACGTGCTCGGCGGTGAAAGAAAAGATCGTGAGGAAACTTGCATATTTTCAAAATAAATAAAAAAAATTATTTTTTTTTTTTTTTCGAAAATATGTGAAGTCCGCCAATCCGCAGTGGGGCCGCGTGGTGGACTATGCCCTGATACCCTCTGTATAGAGGAGGCCTTTGCCCAGCAGTGGGATATGTTTAGGCTTACTTACTGTTTGTTACCTTACCTTACCTTACACTGGCGTCGTCGTGATATTCCGCAATGGTATACAAATATAATACATGCATGTTTATAAAGTTATGCCTATGTAGGTCGAGCTGAGCAGAGGCCGCCGCCACACGAACCCACACGAACCCACGGGCGTTGGCGGACTTCACACGTCCTTGAAATGTTGTTTTTAGTAAATATTTCGAAAATATGCAGGTTTCCTCACGACGTTTTCCTTCACGTTTATTGATACCGATAATGTTTTTCATCTGTAAAGCATTAGGTAAATTAGATTAAAGCAACACCCTATAAGTTTCCCACTGCTCAGCAAAGGCCTCTTCGAAAATATGCAGCTTTCCTAGCGTTGTTTTCCTTCACCGCAAGGCACGTGATAAGTCAGCACTTAAAAATAGCAATTTCATAGGTACCGGCAACGGGATCGAACAGTGGTGTTGTGCTAAATTTTTTTTTACCGGAACGCGTATGTCTAATAATATAGACAGGGCCGATCCTGGGTAGGCGGCCGCTCTGTGCGGTCTCATGTCCCAAATTTAACGACGGAGGGTGATTTTCCATGATAACCCTGGCGGCGACGTTTTTTTAGCTCTCATGTCCCAAATTTGACAACGGAGGGTGATTTTCCATGACGTGCGGTCTCATGTCCCAAATTTAACGACGGAGGGTGATTTTCCATGATAACCCTGGCGGCGACGTTTTTTTTTTAGCTCTCATGTCCCAAATTTGACAACGGAGGGTGATTTTCCATGACAACCCTGGCGGCGACGTTTTTTTTTAGGTCTCATGTCCCAAATTTGACAACGGGGGGAGGTTTCTCCCAATTTTCGCCCGTCGCCAGGGTCTACCCTGTGTATAGCATAAAAAGGAAAGGAAACGAAAATCATTACGAAACCCATTTTGTGTTTTTCCTTGTCTTGTTGTCATGTTTGTTTGTAATGATACATATAAAAATTTGTCAAAAATTAGAAAAACAAATCAGCAACAGTTCTCGTTATCAGAAATCATCTTTAGTTCCGGAACGCGTTCCTGTCCAAAAAGGAGGTACCGGAACGACGTTCCGAAGCGTTCCGGAATTTTTTTTAAGTGGGGCTCCGATAGAGAAAACATGATTTCTTTTCCGTTTTTATAGATAGTGGTACGGAACCCTTCGGGCGCGAGTCTGACTCGCACTTGGCCGGAATTTTAATTTATGATATTACGCAAATCTGCCTTAAAATCTCGGGGGAATCCGTGTAAATACATTTTACACCTTTTCGCTTTTGTTATTTCTTCTTCAGGTCTTTCAAAATAAATTAATGGAAATTTATTAATTAATATTTATAAATTATATTATTATTATATAATATATTATTATATAATATTTATAAATTAATTTACATTCAACTTCTTTTATTCAACAATAAAATAAGTATTATACATACTATTAAAACAACATACTATTAAATGAAGCTATATTTACGAGTTTATTTAATAAAATAATTTATTTTGAGAAGAAGAGAGTACATTATTTTTAAGAAAAAGACAAATAAACTTATTTTACTACTAATTAAACAAACAAAAGAAACCGAATTGAGAATATCCTTCAAAAGAGAGAAGAAGAGAAAAGTGAAGAAACACAAAAAGTATTTTCCAAATCGTTTCTGGTGCCTTTGAGTAAACGGTGAACATAGGTACATTAAAAAAGGATTCCGACGAATAGAGTAAAAACTGTTAAACATGTTCAGTAATTTTAATCAATTATACAGTATTCTCATCGAATTTGACTCTTACTGAGCTAGTAAATTCCTAATCTACGATCACGTTCGCTAACCGTTAAGTACGTAGACACGATGTCAGTCAAAAATATAGCTGATTCCATAAAAAAAATAGGTCAAACTCACCCGCTTGCCCTGGTCTCAATACGTCGCCCAGGAGGTCTTTGATCAGGAAAGACTTGTGACAGTCCTGCATTCTTGAATCCATTGAAATGCGCCGAATCTTCACTCAAAACAGCCCTTACTTCATTGTCTTTCAAAACTTTAAAACAAATTGTTCTTCAAATTAAACACAAACTTATATTTGGAAATATTAAGTGTTTTTATTTGCTATTATGAATAATTCAGTTTGTTAACCGATCGCAATTCAGGTGCACCGTACATAATCGTCGATGACGTCAGCCCAAGAGGAAAATGGACCGCGACAGATCACAGGCACCACTTTCCCGCGCATCCGCGTCTACTGTCAGCCATGTTCAAATCGCTCAGCCGAGAAAATCTTTTCATTTAGCAACGCCCTACTCCTAACCGACGTTACATACATTTTCTTGCGGTTTTGGCCCAAAACACCGCTTAAACGGGAGTTAATGCGCGTTTAGCATGCGCGGCTCCCGCCGGGCGGAGCCCGGAACTCCGCCCCCGTCGGCGGGCGCCAATTGCGGAGCGCCCGCAAACTTTTCCGCACGGGTGAACGCTCGAGTACGCCACGAAACGGGGGTTTAGACCCTTAGTTATTGAGTCGGTTTTTAAAAGGCCGTTTTGAATGTAAATCGAAAAGTTAACCGGGGCAAAGAGCCCGCGGGGCCCCAATTAAACTGATGCCATCGCTCCGAGTGCGCCCCGGCCGCTGAATGGAAAATGCCCGGTTTTACTCCCACTAGAAGCGCCCATTATGTGCGGTTTGCGAAATTGACCTATCAATTACGGCCGTGCTGAACTTGCACTCTTCCAACCGTGCACATCTGTACTATCTACCGTTGTTGAGCAATGTTCGCTTTGTTCTGAACTTCCAAGTGGTTCGTGTTGTTTCGATTTGCGCAAATTTAACTTGTTAGCGTTTACTGTAGCGTCATATTTTGTTGATGTTAAATGAATGCTGTTTTCTGCCATCGTTATTTATTACCTATCTTTTGAATCCGTACTTCGGATTTGTTAAATAATTTTGCCTCAAGCGGTGACTGATTAGAAGTGGAATAATAAATAACGAGGAAAGTTAGAATGTTCATACTATTAAGAAAAAGTACCTGTAGGATTTTTTTTGGTAAATGTATTTTGGGAATAAAAAAAATAAAAAATGAAGAAAATGTTCTGGTATAGAAAAAAAAGTACAAAAAAAATAGTGTGTAAATGATCGTGATACGAACCACGGCCGTCTGTTTTGGGGCCGCCCGATTACCGACCGAGCTATTTTATAACATTTTTTTTGTGGCGAAATTTACTGTCATATTCGAATAATATTTTTCATTCCCTGAAAACAGGGATAAAAGGACATTTTGTAAAAATGAAACCTAGCTAGATCGATTTTTCGCCCCCGAATCTACGCACATACTAAATTTCATGAAAATCGCTGGAGCCGTTTCTGAGATTCTGATTATATATTTTATTTTTATTTACTTTATTAGGAAACTTCACAGCATACAAGAAATGTTTAGCATAAATACAATTAACAAGGATATTTAGCCATTAAGGAGGAAGGATATTATATATATACAAGAATTGCTCGTTTAAAGGATAAGATAAGACCACGCCTAGGACCATTTTTGATACAGCAAATAGTATGGATGAAAATGGGCAATAGGCCGGCTATATAGCTCAAAGAATCCATTACCGATCGGGAAGAAAGGAAGAGGAAAGGAGAGGTCATAACAGGAAAGAACAGGTAAGGACCCCTCACTACAGGGAATGATAACCTGTGAAAATTTTTAATCGGATCAGATGGCTCAGGAACGCGTTTGAGGCAGTCTGTGAGTGAGGCCTATGTTCAGCAGTGGACTCAAGCAGGATGAAATTATGAGGATGATGAAATAATAAATGCATATATTTTATTCGGATCCATAAAAGCAAATGCTACGTTGGTACCGTACCAGTAAAATTGCTTTTCGATGTTATTATATTATGCGTTTTCAGTTTGAGATTTGTCATGACATTTGGCCTAACTTTCAATATACCTATATATAACATGAAATGTAGACAACTAACAATTTATCTGTGCTCGGTCAGAGATTAAAATCCTTGAGAGATACATAAATAGGTGACGCCCGCGGATTCCGCTGGATCTAGTATATATTAATGTAAGTATCCATTTTATAATTGATTTTCAGGAGTTCCCTAAGCACTTCCGGAGCCCAAGATCCAATACCAATGGAATTAATATATATAAGGACCACATAGGACGCACCAGCTTACAAACAAATAAATTATCATCGAAGGCAATGCACCCAGTCGAAAGTTATGAGGTAACAAAGATAAAAAGAAAATACAGTCGAATTGTGAACCTCGTCCTCTTTTGAATTCGATTGAAAATCACGGTCCTAAGTCGATACGATAAAAATATACGAGCAAATTTAGATTCTCGCGAATACTTGTGAAACAAGTGACTACCAAAAATAACAATTAAATATTATTAGGGTTGAAAGTATCAACCAAATTGGCAACACACAAACATAGAAAAAAATGTAAAATTGGCAAACCCATGCAAATCCCGAGTACTTACCTTAATTTTAAACGTTTTGTATTTTTCGTAGTCTTCAACATGTAAATACCTCACTATAAACAATTATCAACATTATAACATATAAGATTGTGGTAATACCAACATTCCAAATATTTACTAAAGCAATAACAATATTTTCTTAGCTTTTTCGTTAAGGTCCGCTAGGCGCACTTACTATGTTACAATGTTTCCTAAGAAAAAAATGTGTGCGTGTACTAGCGTACACTCGTAAGAAGTGAAACTTTTTTATGACGTTATTTTTCAAAAAATAATTTACTATATGCAACTTTACAGAAATTGGTTAAATAAAGTTAAATTAGATAAAGTTTAATAAAAGGCTTTTATTATCATAGACATAAATACAAATTCTACAATTATTTCATTTTAGCTTTGTATAATATTTAGTTTCTTATTTGTAATAAATAGGTGGCGTTAGTAATAAATTAAAACACACTATGGTTTGACCGTTGTAATTAGTATGAGGGTCCGCAAAAATTGTTGATTAAAACCCAGTCAGATAATAGCTACCGATCGACCAGTCACATAATAGCTACCGATCGAGCCGAGGTCCGGCCCTCTCGGGCACCCTCGAATCGGAATGCTAAACGCGTGTTGAGTGACAGCCCAAGCCGAGGTCCCCCTCTCGGGGACCCTTGAGCCTGATCACTGGAGCGCCCGCCAAAGCGCCCTAAGAGCTTGGCGGCCTCCCAAACCGGTAACAATAATAGCATGACGGCCCGAGCCGAGGCTCCCCCGGGAGCCCTCGAGCTTAGTCACCATAACGCGTAATAATAGTACGCCAAGGTTCAGGCTAGGCGCCTCGTGCGCCAGGCCAACTCAAGTCCGTCGGATCTGTTAAGGCCCCTAAGGCCAACAGTGGCTCATCCATTTTAAAAAAAAAAAAAAAAAAAAAAAAAAACTTTAAAAAACTTGCAACGTGAACCTTGTTTAGTTTAATTAACCTCACGGACTCAAAATACAACCGCTTTAAATTTGTACATGGTCCTTCGTTGTTGCCGAAGTCAGCCAGTGAATAGAAGGCAGACATTCGACTCGCGCGCGAGTGTTGTGAGTGAAGTTTTTTGGAAAACCGAACTTGCGGGGACGTTGGATCGACGTCGCAACCGTAAGTTCCAGGAGCCGATCGAGGTTTCGAAGAGCATCAATCGGTCAGCTTCAGATTGTGTCTTCGGTGGAAGGCAGGTCACGGTGGGCGGTGCCTGCCTTTGGAGAAGAGGAAACCGACACAGTGTCGTGCTCTGAAGTATTAGAGCTAGCACTGTCATTACTACAAAGATTATTATTGAATTTCATTAATTGTAATAGAATTATTACTATCATTGATGTCGTTATTATATATTTGTGTTATTAATGGCTTATGGTAACTGAAATACGAAATATATTGTTTACATTTTAGAATTAGAATTAAAAATAAACCCTTTGATTTTGCTGATCACTTTAATATAACATATCACATATAACATATATATGTATATTGTTATGAACACACAAATGAACTAACGCCATCTAGCGTCAACTATTAAAACCACTAAAGAATAAAGACGACATAAAACCCCCTATTCAACACTAGATGGCGTTAGAGGAACATTTTAAGATAAAAAAAAAAAAGATGGCGCGTAACGGAAAAATGTTACACTAAATTTTTTTCCAACCCCGATAAAGAAGTTTCACTTCAAAAAAATTATATTACTTTTCTCTATCGTTTAAAAACATTTGTAAGTGAAAAACAAAAGTATCCCTTTGTAGCATTTTAGTGCCCAGTGGAAAAATGTGCGAAATAAGGCTTCCGTCCGAAAATAGACTTTAATTATTAGCAAATTAATTAAATATTAGCAAACTTTAAGAAAACTAGTTATATACTTAACGTCCAGCAGAGTCATTGATATTTTACTCGCTTCATTCGTTTCACACTTTCGAGTACTTTTCCATAGCGGCTACTTTCGTATATTATCTCATCCCTTAACTATCTTAATATAAATATTATTTTTTCTGTTAAATTTTTTTCATACAACCGAAATTTTTGTATTGGATCCTATTAAATTACAAAATTATTAAATCTAGTAAAGTAGTTAGCGAGCTCGATTAAATTTACGCGAATTCGTGGCGTTGTGGGTTCATTTTTTTTTATTTGTTCATGTTAAATTGTTTCATTTTTGACAACTATTTGCACTACATTGGGAAAGAAGAAAAACTGTAACAAACTATATTCAAATTGGGAAAGAAGAAAAACTGTAACAAACTATATTCAAATGCAAATAAAGTTACCTGAAGACGAGCCCTAAGTCAGTTCTGCAGGTTTTTATTGTTTCTGCGACGTATTTTTTGTTTGTGCGATTGTTCCACGCATCAGTCTTCGCTGTTGCACGAGTGGGCAGGTCCGTCCGGGGAAGTGCCACGACCGGCTTCTGCGTTTCCTCCGGTGAGTGAATTTAACGGGGCCCACTTTATACAAAGGTGGCAAG